CAAGTATTACCGTGTGTTTGAGTTTGGCTTTACAGACTGAATCTAAAAAACAATTCAATCTTGTAGCAGCATGTCAGTTTATTATCCTAGGTCCATTTCCTAATGAATTCTAACTTGCATCCATCTGCATATTTTGCAGATAGAAGATGCCCGTGCTGCTATGATGCTTTACATAAAGCACAGAAAAGAATGGGAAAAGAGCATCAAGGACTTTGCAAGACTGAAGGAGAAACAGAAAAAGCGTAAACCAAAGAAAAAAAAGAGGAGTTTGAGAAGACCCGCGTCTGAATAATGCTTCCTAATGAGAGATGATCACTCTAGTTTATCTCGTTGCTTGTTACATGTATCAAATTACTGACTAGGGTGGAGCAGACAGAGAACTGACTAAACATGGTTAATGATTGTTGTGGATGTGAAATGCTCAAAGGAAGAATTAGAATTAGATCCTCTCTCTCTCTCACTATCATAGCCTGCCAGAACTTTGTGCTCGCCAGACCTTATTATTCAGTTTCAAGAATCATGACATGGATCCACCCAAGACTGGTTCTGCTAGTGAAAGGAGGAACATATCATCTCTTTAGTCTTTTGTACTAGATTCATATAATCCTAAGCCTTCCTGTTGGCGCTTTTCTAGAGTTCTGATTACAATTTTGAATTTTTTTGCTCATAAGGAGGGCTTTTATTTGATTTTGATTGAAGTTGTTGCTACAGAAGAGCTTGTATCATGTGAAAAAATATTGGACTAAGGAGTAACTGTAATGGTAGTTGAAAAGTGGTGAGAGTCTACTTAATGAAATTGCAGATCATTGTTATATCTCTGCTTCTTTTCTATAGTTGATCTTAAGCTTGCTAATTGCTATACCAAAAAAATCATCAGACAATTACTAAGAAGTATGTGGTAATAATTTCATATTGATGATATAGATTTCTTATTCTTTTGTTCAATTATTACCATTGAATAATTTCATATTGAATAGGTTTCCTTCTGTCTTCTTAAATATCATCAAAGGAATAAGAAGACAATTATTTTACACCATACAAGATTTATATCAATTTTTTTCCTAAATGATTCGGGTCAACAAAGCTGCAATTGGACTCCTAACAGAGTACTTGGTAGATTTCCATTTCAAGAATCCTTCAACATCAACAGTGCCTGATGAACGATTAACTATTTGAGTAAACGTTACTTGGTATGACATCTTCTGATTTAGTTCAGCGAACTTCAGAACTGAAGGCTCAACTTTAACATCAACACCTGGTGGTGAAACAACATCCACAGTGTAAGATGATTTAGCTTCACCAACATTTGTAACTGTCCGCGTGTATGTCTGAGAAGTTGATCCAAGTATAACAGAAAACGAAGGATAATTTAGTTGTCCTTGTTGAATACTTCCTACCTCTGAGCAATTGATCTTTCGTTGCACAATAACCCCAACCTCCCGGTTTGTATAGTTCAAACCACATAAATAAGGTACATAGTCTTTAGGTTGGATATCATAAACAAGTCCTGGATCATTTGCTTTAGATGGATTTACATGACCTGAACCAATGGCAAAAAGGTTAGCTGGTTCATGATTTTCATCTTGGATGGTCTTTTCCCCCAAATTCACAGTATCCGCGGTTGTCATAATTGCAGACTTAATCATTGATGGAGACCAGTTTGGATGGGAACTTTTAAGCAATGCTGCTACTCCACTTAGGTGTGGGCAAGACATTGAGGTGCCAGATATAATGTTGAATGTAGGTTTTGGTTCGGTATTGTTCTCTACAGAGGTAGGCCATGCTGCAAGGATATTAACTCCAGGGCCTATAATATCAGGCTTTAGAATGCCAGGGGTTGCTCTGCTAGGACCGCGAGAAGAGAAAGAAGCAATGACTGGAGTATTTTTGTCTCCGATTATAGTCCCTTGGAATGTTATGGTGGCTAAAGGATTTGATGTTGAATTTATATATGCAAGAATTTTTTGACCATCTGCATATGTAACATCGGTAGCTGGGAGTACGTGTGCATCAGCTGATGTTGTGAAACCATCTTGAATACGATTCATTAGTATCATCGCGATACCTCCTGCAGCTTTCACTGCTTGACCTTTGTCTACTCTTGTTACTCCACCACCAACTTCACACAAAACAATCTTACCTGTGAGATCTGTTTTGTTCAGTGACGTTGTGCTGCAGTAAGGATCGTTAATGTCACTTTGATTTGAACCACCCGCATAAACAAGAGGATACAAATGAGAAGAGAAATCCTTTGGTTGAAAAGCTGATTCGCCTTGAAACATTTCCTTGTTTCCGAGTACTGCAGTAGCCTTGATATTCCTATCAAGGGTACTTGCACCAACAGTGAGAATCCATGGGGCTTCATTTGCAACAGATTTAGGAGTTGGACCTCTGTTACCTGCAGAGCAGCTAACAAAAATCCCCTGTTCCATTGCACTATATGCACCTAGTGCAATTGCATCATCATGAAAAGATTTAGTACTTCCACCAAGCGAGAGGGAGAGGATATCGACTCCATCTTCAATTGCAACATCCATCGCAGCCAATATATCACTCTCCGAGCAACCAACACTAGTACATACCCTATAAATAGCTAAGTGTGCAAGAGGTGCAACACCAACCGCTGTGCCATTAGCATTTCCATAAACATTAGCATTCTTAACAAAACTTCCAGCAGCAGTACTCGCGGTGTGAGTACCATGACCATCATCATCCAATGTTGTACCCTTTCCAAAGCTAAAAGACCGCGCTCCAATCAACTTGTTGTTACAAGTCGTAGAATTGAACTCACACTTTCCCTTCCATTTAGCAGGAGGAGGAGGCATTCCTTCATCGTTAAACGAAGGATGATCATGAGCAATACCAGTATCCAATACACCTATGATCACACCTTTTCCATAGTTAGAATCTCTCCAAAATCCCATATTTTGTTGCAAACCAAGAAAACTCGGAGTATGAGTAGTGTGCAAAGACAACACCCTTTGAGGTCGCGCTGAAATGAATCCTTCTTTTTTCTCCATTTCTTTCAATTCTTCGTCTGATAATTTAGCTGCAAAACCTTTGATCACATTGTGGTACGCGTAAACCATACGCGTATCTTCAATTGAATTGGCAATAGTTGTTGGCAAAAATGAATGGTACCAACTATCTAAATCCATTGTTGATGTCCTATGAGTAGAAATTTGACTATTTGGAGATTCAACTTGAACAATGTAAGTTTCCAAATTAGTGGCCATTGTTGAAAATAAAGAATTAAAGAATATGAAGAGTAAAAAAGGGATTCTAATTAGAAATTCCATCTTTAATCAAGAATTGATGATTTTTGTAAATATTATGTATGAACTAAGAAATTTTTTGTTGGTGGAGTTTGAATTTTTTTAGCTAGTATATATAGTGTTTGGCATTTTAATTAACGCGGTAAATCCACCATCATATAGTTTTAATTGGTCAATTAATGAAACATTCTTAGCAAATTAAACATCATTAATTAAAGTTAAATGGAAGAAGTCTTCTATAGAAATAATATAGTATCTATATATTACCAGGGTATGCTTCTTTTGAACAGCTCAAAATTAGAGGGAAGACAAATTATATGAATTAGTAGTAGTCTAATTGGATTTTCTTAGAGAAACTACATGTCATTTCTTGTTTTGATTTATAATGTATCTTTATTTTGCATTTTTTTGAATTTGTTTGTCATACATGACCATTTCTTTGAGACTATCGGCTCTAAGGGTATATTTGGTACGGAAGAAAATGCTTTTCTCGAAAAAATGTGTTTTTCTTGTGTTTGGTGAGTAAGTAGAAAATATTGACGGGAACATGTGGGGACGACGGCTATGGAGGGTGGGGGGAGTATGTTCCCGAAGACATTTTTATCATTTTTAAAGAACACGTGTTCAGCGCAGACAAAAAATACTAGGTGATTCTTTCCATCTGTCCTAGCCTTGGTGGTTAGAGTTACCAGATATCTATTAGGATGTTACTTGTGGAAGGTGATATATATCTCGTGAAATTAATCGATGTGCGTGAAAGTTGGCCTGGACACCACGATCATAAAAAAAACCATGTTTTCTACTAAAAATAAATATTCTCTGAAAAAAAGTTGACCAATCATGAGAGAATTAGTAAAACATTTTTTATTTTCCTCCCTACCAAATACACCCTTAAATGCCTTGTTTGATTTCTTTTGATTATTATATTATAAGAGTATTTGACATAATTTGAACATAAGTGTTATTATTATGAACTAATGTATGTTGAATTATTTAAAAATCTAAGTAGTTATAGTTAGACTTTTATCCTTTTCATTCTTGGTGGTCGTATGAGGTTGACTGAGTTGTAAAATTGACATTTGGAGTTAAAAACTTAACCTTTACTAAATCAGTTGATAAACTACGAAATCAACTTGAAAATACACAGAAAAATGCTTCGATCATCGGCAGAAATACTTATGCAAATGGAGAAAACGAGATGAAAAGGATGAATTTTGGGTTTCTTACGTTTTTAGGAGGGAAATGGAGGAAAACCAAGAATTGGGGGTTGAAGTGGGTGGGGGACCCGCGCGTGCAATCACGTGATACAATTTATTTGGTTTATGTGAACATGTCAGCGTGTGTAGTAAATAGAGAAATAAAATGTTCAGGGGTGATAGAATACCCGTGCAGTTGAAGTGTGTAGTTGAGATTTTGGATATAGGTTGGGAGGTTTTTAGACCGTTTCCTCTTAGAAAAACACACAAAGAGGATTAAAAAAGAATTACAAGGCTTATTCATATAAAATTGAAATATAACTCTTTAAGTTAGTAATCAAATTAAAAGTTTAAGCCATAAGCATTTTCAACCATCTTATTTTTAATTAGAAATTTTGAATTCTAACCATGTTCGGTGTTAGGAAGGTTTTATTTCTAATACGAAATAAAAGAGAAAAAGACAAATAAGCCCCTAGGTTGCAATACTAGCACTTGTGAGAAGCAGCCACGGTGCCAATATTTGTCTGTGCGGATAAAATAGCAGACACGTTCACTTCACTCTCCCCTTTTTTGCATGTACACTCTTTTACTGAACATTGAACAATATGCATCCATTTTCCCCAAATCACTGAATTTGCTGTTCAATTTCTGTGCAAAACAATGATCCGATTGATATCTCGGAGGATTGAGATTGGTACTGGTGATGGAGGAATTTCGAATTTAGGTTTTGACAAAAGAGGTATTGTTACGAGCTGTAGAGCTGTGTTGTTGCCGCGATTTGGTGGACCGGAGGTGCTTGAGTTTCGTGACAATGTAGCTGTTCCTGATCTAAAACCTAATCAAGTGCTTGTTCGTGCTCGTGCTGTTTCAATCAATCCACTTGATACCAGAGTTAGTTCGATTTTTTTATTTTCCAATTTCATTTGTTTATTCTGATTGGTTGGAAATGTAGAGCGAAATCGACCTGTAGTATAATTTCGTGTTGGTATTTGGTGCTTATGTGTTTTTCAGTTGAGAAATCGACTTGTCTCGTTGGGATAATTATATGAATCCTATCTAATTTAGACTATTTTTATGTTGGCTGTCATTTGCCTCAGCCTATAGTTAGTGCAATTGTCATTTGAGTGAATGGTCAAAAACACACCTAAAATATTGAGTTTTTTTGAGTTTCATAACTATCACCAAATGTTTATTGAAACACATCTCAGTAATCCGTTGCACTTTTTCTATTTGAAATATCACCATCATTCAGGTAGGAAAAGTGAAAAACTGATAGTTGAGGTGTGTTATAATAAGCATTTGGTAATAGTTCAAGTAGGGAACTCACACGCCTAATAGTTCAGGTATGAAACTCAGAAAGTCGTTTGACCCTTCTGATTAGAAATGTTGCCTAATTGACCTATAGTACAATTCTTTGGTTGTAATTGGAACTCAGTGTGTTTTTCAGTAGATATGTTTAATCCGTTATACCTCAATTTCTGTCTGGTTAGGATGATTATATGAATCATCTCTTATTTAGACTATTTTTTGTGCTGGCTGTCATTTCTGCTTTATTTTGCGTAGGACCAACTATACTTTTGAGAAACTTAAATAGGTGGAATTGTCTGACAATCTCAGAAAATTCAGGCGTGTCCATACAATGTGCTTGAGGTTGAAGGTGAATAGAGGAAAAGGGGATATGTGAGAAAATTGTTCAAGTTAGGGCAAAATTTTATGCCTTTAAGACCTAGCGATCTATGGTTTTCATTTCTTTCTTCCTTTTGTTTTTCTCTGAGAAAGCATAGAGACTTCCATTTTAGAGAATTCTTGAAGAAATGATCTCTTAAACATAGTGGAGCATCTTTGATCTATGTTATTGATCCCTTTATTTCTTTGTTTATGCTCCACATGGCAGTTGTTGAATAAGTAAACTGCTTCTTAAAGTTGATTATGAACAAAGATTTTTCTGATCATTCATTTATTAATAAAAATGAAGCTATAAGAACTTGTTAAGTGAAAACCATGCTTCCGGATGAATACAGTATTACTGTGAAGTGAATGCAATGCAGATAACATCTAAAATAAAATAAAATGTGTTATATTTTTTTTCTCTTTTTTTACAATGGAAGAATTTTTTATACATGCGTCAATTCAATGTGGATACGATATTAGTTTGACGGATACAAATTTTTCTTATTATACTATTAGGAACAGATAATAGTTATAAAGCTCATGCAAATGTTTCCTCTAAATCTATTGGACTTATTTGTTCCTGGGAAGCTATGTCATAGAAATTGTGATCATCACATTATTTTGCATTGAGCATTTAGTAGATGCTTTAATATGTTTCAGATGCGATCAGGATATGGACGTTCAATTTTCGAACCACTTCTACCATTGATTTTGGGCCGAGATATAAGTGGTGAAGTTGCAGCTGTTGGAAATTCTGTCAAGTCACTTACAGTTGGGCAGGAGGTATTTGGTGCTCTGCATCCAACCGCTGTGAGGGGTACTTATACTGACTATGCTATTCTTGCGGAGGATGAACTTGCTCCAAAGCCGGGATCACTTTCACATGCAGTATGTTTTCTGTTTGGTTACATTTAGTCAGACCAACTTCCTAAGAATACTTTTCTGCTCTTAAAAATTTTTCTGGCTATTTGTGATCAATTATAAAATCAGCGTCTATCTTGTTTCCTACTCCTTATACTGTTACTTTTATTAGATGCCCTCCCCACCCCTCAGCCTGCTGATTAAGTTATCAATTTCTGAAATTCATTGTTGTTGGATTAATATCCCTGTCAATTTTCACACTTGTTATCTGCATCCTGTCACATCACATATCTTGTTTTATTACTACTTTAGCATGCTAAGGTTCTATATGTTGTTCTGCAGGAAGCCAGTGCTATCCCTTTTGCTGCGCTAACTGCTTGGCGTGCGCTAAAAAGTACTGCCAGAATAAGAGAGGGGTATGTTTTTATCAGATAGGTTAGATTTTTTCATCAGTGAAACGGTTTTCTCTTTCTCCCTCTCTTATCACCCTTTGTGAAGGAGAGGCAGGATGGAAATAGTAGTCTGTACTTCTACATTCAGTACTGGAGATGTGCTTTATACGCGCAATGTATGAATCTGAATTCATCAGTTAAACTCGAATAATTACCTCTGAGAAAAAGGAACTGGAAGTTGATGACTCAAGAGGGTTTCGCTATGGCCTATGCAAGTGTTACCATGCCATGAAACTAGTAATTTAAGAAGGTTTTCCTCTGCAACTATATTGCTGAGTCATAAACATTTTCTAAAATTGTTGTACATTTAAATTCTGAATTTCTGTTTTCTTGGTTTTGGCAGCAGACTATCTCCACTTATAAAGAGGTTAACAGCTTCTAGTAAATTATGATCATTGAACTTTTTAAGCATGGTATGTGAGTGAGAAGTATTTAAAGGGATTGAAATTTTAGGACTCTTTAGTGTTTTTCTTTATCAAATTATTTTTTTACCCTCAGTTTTGGCAAAATACTGAAGTGATCAATAGATAAAGTTATTTACTGGGGGCCTATGACCAACATTATATTCTTTTGAATGTAATTGTGTAATAATGATTCTTCCGTTGGAGCGTATATAAACTTTTGTAACTTGGAAGTGCATAAAGAATTAAGTTTCAAGATACATTTATGTTGGCGTAATGGAAAAACATGGAGTTGCTCTAAATTCTAATGCTGCTGAACAAGATTATTTTGTCTAGAGATGAAAATTGGTCAAAAAGATGGCTTTTCCTTTTTCTTTGAGAAACAGGATGTTGATTCATATGGATTGAAAACCTTAGCATATAATACTTGCTATTTATTGCTTATGTATATATAAAAAGATATAGCAGCTTACCTATTTATTGGGGGTGGCTGTTCAGTTCTTAGGTGTTTCTAAAACAGTTTTCTCGGTGTGAGTGAGAAATAAAACATCCTTATTTGCTCTTTTTTTAAATTTCATGAAGCTGGAAGAATAGATGCTTAAGCTACTCTTTGCTAATATCAACTATGAGTATGATCTTTTTGTTTTTGATCTCCCTTTCTTCATCATCGACCCAATCTATGCACTAGTACTGTGATTTTAACTGTCTTGATGAATGTAGAAATTGCACTATAGATAGGAGTTTTGACAGGGAAAAATTGAGAACACCATTATCGTGCCTGTCATTTGATACTGGCAACTGGAATACAATTAGAGCCCCATCTTGTCATCGGGAGAATTATGTACCTTCAGGTCTATAGATACCTTGAGGATTCTGAAGGAGGTTAATCATGATAAGAAGAATAAAAATGAAGAAAACAAGAAGGAAAACAGAGTTGGTATAAAATTCAGTTCTTCGGTTTACTGAAGAACTGCAACCTTTACACCGGACCCGAAAGACCGAATTTTCGGGGAAAAAATCAAAACTGAACCGAAGAACCGAATTAGTTTGGTAGTGTTCGGTTTTTTCGGTAGTCATGGCCATCTGAACTCGTTAATCCTATTTGAGAGGTCAAGGCACATTTAGATAGTATTCCAACTGTATCCTTTTACTTCATATTGAGCTCATGATAGTGAATATATGTTGATTGGAAGAGAGATAATATGATATCTCAAAATGATATCTGTGTTTTGTTTATACTGATATCATTATTTCTCAATCAAATTACTTCAGGCATAGGGTATTGGTCATAGGTGGAGGAGGAGCAGTAGGTTTCTCTGCAATTCAGCTTGCAGTGGCTGCAGGCTGCCATGTTTCTACTACGTGTGGAGGAGAGAGTATAAGTCGCATTTTAGCAGCCGGTGCTGAGCAGGCCGTTGACTATACCATTGAGGTGACCTTGCAGTAGTAGTTCACGTGTTTATCCATCATGTTATTTTATTTGAACATGATATGCTTGATTGGTTTTTTTAATGGCGTTATTGGGGTATTCTGCCCTCTGTCCTTTTGCCAGGGTTGACATGTTTGCTTGTTTACAGGATGCTGAAGTAGCACTTAAGGGGCATTTTGATGCTGTCTTGGATACAATTGGTGTGCCAGATACAGAGAGAATGGGTATTAGCCTTTTAAAGAAAGGTGGACACTACATGACGTTACAGGTTAGGAGCTGTCTTACCTTCGTAACCGTGAATCTTCTACTATTTTTTCTTATAAATGCCAAAACATTTGCCGTGCGGTCTTTATCAAGATTTCCTGTTCTTTGCTCATAGGGGGAGGCTGCATCGGTGACTGATAGGCACGGACTAGCTATTGGTCTTCCTATGGCAGCAGCCATCTTGCTGAAGAAACAAATCCAATATCGATATTCTCATGGAATAGGTATGAGATCTTCTGAAGTTTCTATGAACTGTTCGGCAGAAATGGTTTTTTCCTGGGTATTTATGAAAATTTTAGAACACCCTTTATCCAAAAACAGTAAGGGAAAAAAGTGAACATGAAATTTTAATTCACCCCTAACAATATGAGATTTTTTTTAAAAAAATTTCTTCTTTCTCAAAAAAATAGATATGTTCTTCCTATATGGCAGTGAATTTCAAAACATAGAATGCATAACAGGAAAAATAGAACTGTAGGTGAATTCGTAGGTACCATCTCACTATTAGGTGCAACTCCTACAATCAGATTGCTGATTTAGAGCCTGTTTGGATTGGCTTATTTTAAGTGCTTTTAAGCACTTTTAGAGTATTTGGGTAAGTTAAAAAAGTGCTTATAAGCACTTAGTTTTAAGCTAAAATTTCTAGCTTATGGCTTTTGGCGTACAAGTCAAATGAAAAGTCAATCCAAACAGGCTCTAGCTTGATTCAAGACTTTTTGTTGCATTATCTCATAGGTTGGTTGTTTCTTGTACTTGGACTATTGGTTGAAAAGGTAGGCAGAGGTTATTATCTGAATAATAGTAGATAAAGCAATTGGAGAGCCGTTTTAGATTGACCTGGATTGTTATGTTAACACATCTTTTAAGGCAAGAGGTAAACCAGGGGATGATACCTTCTTCATCTATTTAAAAAATTGAGATGCTCTTTTCAAGTGTATAGTATAGTCAATTCTGATATGGCCATGACCTTATTTTTTGGAATAGTGTAAATATTAGCATATTTCATGCATATTGACAGGTTTTAGAAGGACTTTTCAGTGAGAATGACATACAGATCACTGATCTTCATTGAAGTAGATAAGATGAAGAAACCATCGTCCATTTAGTGACATCATATACTTTATTTAAAGTAGACGGTAGAGTCATTCTGATATTGTATGACCTTAACATTTAACAGGTTTTAGAAGGTGTAAGTGAGAATAACATAACAAGCCTGACCTCCATTCCTTGTTAATTGGGCTCTCTCTCTCTTTCTCCTCCTCCTCCTTCACAAAGGTTTTCTACAAGGAATAACCTTTAGGTAGTTCAGGACAAATTCCGTATGCATATTTGTTAAGGTGATTTTGGTCCTAAATCCTATTTGATAGTTCTCTATTTCTTCTGTTGATAAAAGCAATTAATTTTATTGATATATTAGGAAACGGACCTGCTGAGTGGACGGAATCACTATGATTGATAATTGTCTAATATATTGTTCTCTGGAGGAGATAGTCTAGCTTTGACCAATATCTAATCTAGATTCCATTCAAATGAACTGCTGGGTGGACCGAATCAGTTTGGACTGACCTTGGTCATCTTTTCACATTTTTTAATTTATTTTAGAGATATTGATCTCTTTATTATGATAGGCTAATAAGGATAAAGTATGCCCAGGGTAACTCTCACTTTAGGTTTCAAAGTGCAGAAACTTCATTCCCTTGTAGCGTGTGATCACTTTTTTTAAAAAAAAGCATGTGACTGTGTTTAGAATGCTTGGTCGAGAGTGGCCGTAGTGATCACCATGAGAGCATCCTACTACTCATCTGATGTTTCAGTTGGAGAGAGAGAAATGTCTTTTTTTGGTCATTCATGAGTTAAATTTTGTGGCTTGTCTATTATTTGGTATTTATTATTGTTAATAGCGTGAGACTGACGTGTCAAAAGCTGTGCTATTGAGCCTTATAGGTGCTTTAACTATTGCATTTCTTGTGTTTGCATGATACAGAATATTGGTGGAATTATATGAGGGCTGATGCTGAGGGTTTACATGAGATACGCCGGTTATCTGAGGCTGGGAAGCTTCAAGTCCCAGTAGATAAAACTTTCCCAATTTCACAGGTGAGAGAGGCTCACAAGGCCAAGGATAGACGACAAATTCCTGGCAAAGTGGTGCTAGAAATTGACTGATTTAACTGGACGATCTTAACCAACGGGACTTGGATTCAGTGCACAAGGCTATAATGTCCCATGCAATCTGGTATTGCACTGAATTCTTGATGCCTATTGCCTCGTATACGTTATCATCTCTTTGCAGAATAACCAGACCCAATTTACACACTGTTGGAATATATAGGATTCAGAAGAAAACTGTGCAACCTGTAAATTCTCGGGACATTCTCATTTTTTTTCTTTTCTATATCTATCCGTGATTGTTTCTATGTCTCGTCTCGTCTTTAACCGGTAGCCATGTTGAACTTTTAGGGGTTCGTTTGGTGTGAGTTGTTAAAATAACATGCTGGTGCCATGGGATATGGTAATACATCATAGGAGATGTTTGTTTTTTTGGAAAAATAGATTATGATGTTCTGAACTTAATTACAGTTTTCAAATATACATACTGGTGAATTAAGGGTAATTGCTCAATATCCAAGTATGTGCATAATTTGTCTATTTCTAAAATTGATTAGATCTTAATTTAACAAAAGTAAATAAATCTGTTTGTTTTTATTGAATGTAATTACTTTAAGATCTACATTATTAGTTGTGCTATTACAAGATATCCTTTCCAACTTGCTCTAAATAGAAGATCCCTTTTCCATGTGCTTTTTTTATAATTGACAATACAACAAATGTTTCAAGCTGTCACTTTTAATATTTACTTGGCTTTTTCTAGAGATAATAAGCATTTCACTGTTTCATTTTCCTTCTAAAGGCAAAAGTAGAACCTTTTTTTATTTACGTGAAATAAAGGGAAACAAAGTGCTTTTGGTGAAATATCTCTTTTTCTTTATTATCCTATCATCAATCAATGGTGCATTTGTCCTTTTCTGAAGTAAATGTTGGTCAAAGTCCTTTACTTACTTAAACAAACTCACTCTTGGTAAGGCCAAAAGCACTCTCATTACCCCCACTTTCTCCCTATGCACGAAATATTTATTTATTTTTAGTGAAAATATAAAAATATTATATCCATTAAATTTAACTTTTGTATCCACCTATGTCCCTCCCTCTTGCCCTATAAGGCAACTATTATTTGAAGATTAAAGACACATTTTTTAATTGACTAATTGAACTTAAATATACCTTGAATTTGCAATATGAGTGAAATATACTCCTATATTCTAGGGATGTTTTAACACTTCTCTCAACTTTTAATTAAGAGCTTTATGGTCTGAGACCACTTGTTATATTATGTTGTAGATCAGGGGTGATTGAGGGTGTACCTAATTTTAGTTAGTCAAGTAATTTTAAGCTGTCAATAATTCGAAAACAAAACTAATAATTCGCGTCAAGTTTAAGAATATTTTCAATACTTCTCTCAAAATTTTTAGATGGTCTAACTCCAAAAACATTCTTATAAATTACCCACTACTAGTGAATTCTTAATGCATATACCAAAGATAGACTAAAGTTATTGAATTCACGTGAACTAACATTCTCGATCTCTCCCTAGAGCCTAGAGGTGATTAAAATTTATAACGGATAATCATAATTCACGCGCGGTCTAATGCTCACCTTTTTATGTTGTGCATAGAAGCATCTAGCTCAGCTAACAAGTCAGACAACGAGGTACTTGTTTTAGTGAAAAACAACTCCTACTCTCATTTGAGAGCGTGCTTATTCTTATTTTCTCGTTCGATATTAATTTGACACATTTTTCAAGGAATAACAAATAAAATATATCATATACTAAATTTAATAGTTTGAAAATTGATTGTAGTTATTAATAAGGGTATTAAGAATTTAGTGAAAAATATCTCTTGATTTTTAAGTTAAAGACGTAAAATTTAATAAAGTGAACAAGTAAAAGTGAACCGCGTAGACGTTGCCGGCAATTGTAGTGCACGGTCATAGGTGAAGCGTGAGACACAGTTATGCTTCTTTTAGAGAGGACTAGCAAAAGTCACGTGCACTCTTGGATTCTTTTGTTTTCACTTCCTTCTTTTTCCATGTGAGCTTCCTTCAAATTCACCCCAAAAATGCCGTTTAATCACGATTATACCACTGCCACGATGACAATACTTACCATCTGAATAACTCTCTTTTATCACCATACGAGAATTGACTCGTACATATATGACCTTTATTTATTACTCCCTTTGTCCCAAGTTATATGATTTATTTTTTCTTTTTAGTCAATCTAACAAAGAATAATATATTTCTATATTAATAACAATTTAATTTTAAGATGTTTGAAATGATTTATACTCATACAGACATTCATCATTTATTCACACCACAAGTTTCATCAGTCCTTTTATTTTAAACTTTATGTCAAATCAAACTAATTCATATAAAATAAAACAGAGAAAATATTATTATTATTAATATACTCAAAGTTGACCATCTTCTGATCTAGTGAAATATGACAACCAAACTTAGAAGCAGCACATGCTATGCAAGCTAGACTGAAGAGGACGTTTTAATGTGCTATACTAGTCGGGGCCGGAGCCAATATAATGTAAGAGTTGCGGGTTTATGGATTTTGGCTTAAATTATGAAACCACAACTCATAAATTAATAATTTTGATTTCGTTTTTGGAAAATTACACTTTGTATTGTTTGTGGGATGAGAATGATGAGAAATTAAATTGAGGTTGCAGATTAGAGTAGAAAATTGATAGATAGGGGAGTATTTTCTTACTTTTTAATAGAATTTAGACTTTGTGATAGGCTGAAGCATTGTATCTATCATAGTATAAACTTTATTTATATGATTTCTTACTTTAGTTATATGTTGTTTATTATGTTTTGGTGATTGCATTATTTCGTTGGTGTAACTGTGTGAATGTTTTTTTTTTATTACTTGTCATGTTTTCTTTATTGATGTTTTGATATTTGTTACTATTTTGATTTGCGACACTTAAAATCGAAGATTCTCTGAAAATAGCCTCTCGCTAATGTTTATGTGTTACACTCTATTGTTGTTGGCGAGTTTACCTTTGAGAGACCTCATGTTATTTACTTAATCTCTCTAATTATGGCTAATGTTTTGGGCTTTGTTTAATCGATTAGAGTTCCCTTTTTGTCATTACTGTGAATCTGGCAATATTAAATTGTACATTAGGCAATTAGCCCTACCCCATCAATCATCTAAAAGACAAACAACATTTCAATCATTTTCCGTATGGTATGTTTAAGATCATAAAATTATATGATATTTTGGTGTATTTTTACATATTTTTAACTTAAGAACATAAGATTCACCAATTTTATTTACTTTCTTAAATTTTAAGTCAAATCAAAATACAACATACCTAGTGAAGTCTCACTAAGTAGGTCTGAGTAGGATATAATATACGCAGATCTTATATTACCTCATGGACGTAGAAATATTATTTTTGAAAGGTTATTTGTGTCATGTCTAGACGAAAAGAGTATTACATTGTACATTAGACAATTAGCCCTACCCCAATAATCATCTAAAGACGAACAACATTTCAATCATCTTCCCATTTTCCCCCATAGCTTTTGCTTTCAACAAACTCCACACGCACATCTCCTTTTGCTACATTTTCTGTTTCTTCTGCCACAAAAAACACAGCTTTTCTACACTTTCAAACCCCACATGGATCCCCAATCCATGGCTACCTACAACAACAATGTGCTGAATACAAAGAAACCATTATCCCATTACTAGTGAAAACTCTTCATCTGTTTTATTGTACCCTTTCTACTTCTTCTTCTTCAATGAAACTAACCAAATCCATGCTTAGTCCTAGCCATGGTCGGCATGATCCACCTCTTACTCTTCCCACTTCCCTCAGCCGGAGGCTGAAAGCTAATGGCAGCATTAAAGGTGGACAATCCCCAGCTACTTTTCCTACTACCACCGGAAAGAAACGAGGGTCGGGTTTTGATAACCCGGAACCTTCGTCTCCGAAGGTGACTTGTATTGGTCAGGTGAAAATGAAGACGAAGAAGAAAGTTAGGCAAACACGGAATTTGTCTAATAGAAGGAGTGATATAAGTTTCAGGAAGTTGGAAGAAGAAAGGGGAGTTTTGATTCAGAATCAGAGGAGTTCTAGTGTGCATTTACAGGCGCAAGATCAATGTGCTGCGGCGGTGGCGGTGGCGCATAGAAATCAGAGATGGGTACATTTGCCAGTGACGATATATGAAGCTTTGAGAGAGTTAAGCTGTTTGTTTCCATGTCGGTCTTCGTGTTTTTCGAATGAGAAAGGAAAACAAGAGGATAAAGTTAATGGATCTAGAGAAGTTGATAATAATAATGGGCAGAGGAGATGTGAGGATGTTGTTGCTAGATGGCTAGTTGCATTGCAAGATGGTGAAGCAGATGAAAAAACTAGAGGGATTGAGTTGGTGGTGACGAATAATGTGAAGGAAGAAGAAGAAGGGAAAATGGAGGAAATGCAAAGTACAATGAGAAGCTCAAGAAGGCATGTGTTTGAAGGTATTGAGTTTAAGGATCATGATGATGAGAGTGTTGAAATGAATGAAGAGAAAGCCAGAGTTAGCATTTGCATTCCGCCTAAAAATGCTTTGCTTCTAATGAGATGTCGATCTGATCCTATGAAAATGGCGGATATTACTAATCGATTCTGGGAATCACCTGCTCGAAAAGAAACTAATGAAGAAGTTGAAGTAGATGAGAAAGAAATCGGAGAAAATGCGGATGTGGAAGAACTAGTAGATACAGAAAACACCGAATGCAAAGTACTAGAGGAAACTAGTTGTGTTTCTGTAGATCTTGTGGAAAATGAAGAGAATGCAGAAGCAGAAAGTAGTAAAGATGAAGAAAAGCTCAAATGCCATGAATTAACACCAGAAACAGAGGAACAAGATGAAGAAGAGAGTGTGATAAAGGCACTTGTAGCAGCAGTAGCAGTAGAAGTAAACTCCATTGTTGATGAAACAAATAATCAACCCCTTGAATCAGAGAAAAAAGAAGAAGAAGACAGCAGCATTCAGAGTTTTTCCTCTTTCTCAGAAAACGAAGAAGATGAAACATTGGACGAAGAACAAGAAGAAGAGAGATTCAAATCAATTATTAAAAAGGTAATTGAAGAAACACTTTTGTTAGAACACATTGATAGAGCAGATGCAAAACAAATTCAACACGAACACAGAGAAGAAGAAGAAGCAAAATCTGATGCAGCATTTTCAAACAATGAAATCGAAAAAGAATCGCGAAAACAACAGAACGAATCAATTCTTCCAGATTGCTTGCTACTAATGATGTGCGAACCCAAACTATCCATGGAAGTTTCCAAGGAAACATGGGTATACAGCAGCACTGAACTGAAACAAGCTAAAACAGTGACGAAGAAGAAGAAGAAGAAGAATGAAATTCCCGAGGATCCAAAGAGAAGGCGAAGCATTGACAAGAGTAAACAACAACACCTCCTTCTACAACCACCAAGGTCATCGTGTTCTTTTCCGGCGACCGGAGTTTCGCCGGCCATGTCCATGGCAACGATGATAGAGCAGAAACTGGTAAACGCAGTGGCGTACGAGCCGTTAGTGTTGACAAGGTGCAAGTCGGAGCCGATGAGGACGGCGGCAGGGGTAACGGCTAAGCTTGTGCCGGAGACTTGTTTCTGGAAGAATATGAAGATTGAGCCACATCGACGAGCTACATTTGGGTTCGGGGCGGCTGGAGTCGGGTTTTGAGCTGACCCGAATTGTTCAAGAACTTACGCTGTGATCAGTTGTACTTGCTCATTTACTCAGGTTGTACATTTTATTTTAAACCTTTAATCAGGAATGTATTTTTAGTTTTTGTAGAAGAAGTAATCCTTTTTCAGTTTTTTTTTTTTAATATTTCATGATCTAATTCGAGATTATCCATGATGTTTTTTTGTAATTTTATTTTTGCTTGTAATTTATCAGTTCTAACAAATTATTTTTTGTTCATATGATTACAGTAGATATTTAGATTTTTTTTAATTAGAAGCGTCACCTTAGAAAAAAGTGTTAAAGTGTAGCATGTAGCCTCCTTTTTTCATACTAAAAGTTAAATGTTTCTCAAAGAAATGGACTTAGGCTAGAAAATTTGACCATATCTAAACCAAGCACTATTAATTGTATTATTTCTAAATGGAATTAATATTAATCTATAGTTATAGATGCGTATTATAGACATGTGACACAGCCTGGTTTTGTGTGCTAATTAGTGGCTTGTTTATTAGTGTGTCATGTGACACAGCCAATTCCCAACTAAAAACAGATCTAGAATTGGAAATTAATACAAGTAAGATGAACAATGTGTCTTTGTAGGGAACTATAGATTTAAACGCTTGGACTTAAAATTGATTTCTCATGTTGTGATATCGTAGGCAAAAGATAAAATGATAATTCATCATCGAAAATGTATCACATACGTTGATTGTAGGAGATTATATATACTTGTTGAGTGGTTTAACAAATTAAGTCTTATATATTACTGATTCAGCTATAAAATACATTATTAATTAAAGAAACATCGATCAATTCAAGTATTAAATACGTTGATATTACGAGGTAATCAATGTCTATTACTATATTTGGAGATTATATATATTAAACTTTATATTGATAAACCTCTGTTAATCTATATATATTATTTTAATTAATAAAATTGACCTCAAGAGGTCGGTATATTAAAATAAATTAATAAATGACCTTTTGAGGTCGGTATATTTAGATTATTATTTAAACAATATTGATTTCTTGATGTCCATATTTATTAGAGTTTAAGTTTTGTGCACTGTCAGTGTAGTAAATTTCTACACCATCATGTAATTTTAATTTCTCCCTAATCTTTTTTAAGAAATATAAAATTAAAATTAACTTTTTTTTCTCTCTCTCCTAGAAATTAAAATCCTGTCTTTATCCCTCTAAAATAGCTGATATTCAGCGGCAGTTACTCCTTCTTATACGCATTTGACCTACTTCCTCTTTATGCTTTTTTTTTCAATCTGCATATCACATTTGACCTACTTCCTCTTTATGTTTTCTTCCGATCTGCATATCTTGATATTCCAATTTTGTTTGTTTATTCGTACTCATGGAGGGTTATGATTTTGTTTTTATTTTATCATTTTTCACTCTAATTAACTAATGGTTATTTTATTGATTAGTATAAAGAAAGCATTTGCAGGTGAATTTGCAGAATCAAAGTGTCAAATTCAATAACCTATTTTGCTATGTGAGTACAGTAGATCTATGTTAGTGAAACTATTCTCTCTTTATTAATAATTTAATTTTAGAATTATTATGTGATTAATGTGTCTTATTTGCACAATCAATTTACTCTAATAGAATTTCATTGTTTATGAGTAATTCATTCAATCTTCCTATAGATGATGGTGCTCTTCATACCATTTATGTGGGCATAATTTATCAATACCCTGATCTAACAATAGATGGGAAGAGAAAATAGAATTAAGTTACTAATCCTATTTCTCTGTAATGCTTTCAACTTTAAGAGACATAATTTACCTAAATTATTTTTGGACAGATTGATCATATTCTGAATTAATTTTATTGTTATGAATGAGTTACTGATTCTCTTTCTGTAAATTTTCACGTAAGGAGTCTATTGAGTTTTGTTTTTTGGTTGGTTGGTGGCTCATGGAACATGATTTATCGATGCTCACGGAGCATATTTTTTCATCATCCCCGAGTGGCGTCAGAACACCAACAAGCTCCTCGAAAAGCCTTGCAGAAATACTTGCATTTGTGAACCCCTTTAGTTCTCAATATTGGGAATAATTGTGTTCTGTTCCACAGTGAGTTGAGCTCTCATGAACCATACTAATCAGCCAAATGAGCTAAGATCATTCATGTCGTCTGCTTTGACACGACTAGCAGGGATATGAAGATCAATAAAGCTATAGTCGTTCTGCTTCTGTATGCACGCCAAGGTAACCTCTTCTTTCCCATTGTTTCTGAACCAAGTCATCCGAAGATGCTCCTTCTAGCTCCTGCTGAGACATATTTCTATCTTCACAATGATCGATAACGATGCATATACAACTCCTCTTGTCCACCCCAAGCAACATATATACTATATGGGGTAAAAGGAATGGAAAATGCTTCGAAAAGAAAAGAGAGACGCTTTATAGTAAATGTATTTCACAATTTGTACTATTGTATGAAATTTAAGTTTCATTCTATGTATGACAAACTTGTTGGACTTGTTAGAATCTAAATTCTAATATAAGTTCAGATTCATGTATATCATTCTGATACTATTTATCAATAAAAATTTATCGAATAAGTGATTTTAATTATATTTATGATCTTTGACATATATATATCTCAAGTTTTACATCTTTGAAACTAAGCAATGAAGAGGAAACTCATAGACTCATGATGCTATTAACAGCTGGTTGGGGAGGAGGATGAGGTAAAAAGTTCAACCACATCTGGAGCATCATATAAGTTTGCATATCGTAAAGGAACAAGTTTTCTACACCACCAGAAAACTATTTGTATATAATTGTATTATGGCATAGCTAGTTTTTATTAAGGTTTTCGACAACACATGTTATAACATCAGCTATTTTTAGAGTAAAATTTGTTGATTTGTAGAGGAATCTTACATTTTACGCTCATTTTCGAATGATATAAAGTGCATCTATTTTCACACGTAACAAAAAATATAATTGATTTGACCCAAAAATAGAGGACAAACTGCAATACAAGCATATAATTTTATCCCATATACATGTCAAAATAAACAATGAAAGTACTATTCAAAAGTTAAAAAATTTCAAAGAAAACTAATAAACTAAAATCTAAATAACTGCTTCCTCTTATTTCCTATATTCTCAAAGCTCCAAATCCTTCATCTTCTTACTCACTAACTAGGATGGTGTTGCTGGAATGGAGTTGAAGCTGCTTTCATCAACTCCTGAAAGGAAGAGTTATAATTCATCAACACACACTTTAGCATGTACATAATATATAAACGATAGAATAAAAAATGAATAGTTCTTACCGTAAATGATGTGGCATAAGCACAATCAGTGTTCTCAATAAATCCTTGATAATATTCTGGATATCGTTGAAACTGCTGACAAATTAAATGATAAAATTTGAAAGAATTCTGTTAGTTGAAGAAGAAGGTATATGAAAAGTAAGCCAACTGACATAAGCTAGTATACAAAAAATTACCATTGAATGAGCCTCGTTAGATATTGTTGTACCATTCTGCTCGACTTCGACATTATAATTTGAACTGCACATAAAATGTTAGAAGTTATAACAACAATAACTCGCAATAGAAATAATATTTATTGTGTAAAGTGAAATTACCTTGTTTCCTTTCTCTTAAATTTCATACTTTTCGTTTGCCTTTTTTGCTTCTGAGAAGTAACTTTTTTGGTCTTTTGAGTAACTTCCAAAGCACCTTTCATTCTCAAAGATCTTGGACGCCCTTTAGTTGCCGCTACTGGAGGGTCAAGCAGAGTAGTATCTTGACTTTGTTCACATGATATTATTTCACAATATTTTTCACTACCTGGACCACCTGATACAACACAATCTTCCTCTGATTCATAAGGAAGTTCATCAAGTTCTTCACACAATCGCAATAATCTTTGATGTGCAAATTGATAATGTTTTTCAGACTTTGTAGCTCGTTCAGATAGCCCAATAGAATGTATCATAATGTTATTAAACCATAAGGTAGAAGATTTCAAATTTTTTGTTTCATTTGGTGGATCATTAGCTCTTTCTTTGGTTGCATTTCTACTCCATCGATCTAATAAATAATATGTCGGAAGTGAGTGAATCTGCTTCTTTATAAATACCATTAGTACATGTCTACATAGAATTCCCATGAACTCAAATTTGTGGCATGAACAAACAGCTCTTTTCAATGCAAGATCCAAACTAACGATGTATGTCGGCTTTTGTCGTTGAAGTTGATGCACTTTATAGATGTTTCTTCCGTCCTTAACCTCAATCTTTTCAGAGATAAATTTTTGAGATTGAATTAGTTCTTCTTGAAAAATCTGAAATATCTTTCTTGTATATTCCTTCGCCACTTCATCCTCCATAGGATACAAAGTTTTCAAGATAGGCCTTGAATGTTTTGTCTTGTAATCCTTCTCTCTTACTTTATCATATCTAGCGTCAATAGCCTTATCATATTGCACCACAAATATACTCATTGGAGTACTAGAATTCAAATAATCTTTAAAAAATTTGTTCATACTCTCACTTCTTTGACTTGTTGACATGCCTGCACAAAAAGTAGTACGCACATATGCTGGTATCCATTTTTCACGAATTGCATATATTCTCTGCAACCAACTATTTTCTCCTAAATTATACATCTCCATTATTTCTATCCACATTGTTTCAAATTCCTCAGGAGTGGTTGTACCATGAATACACCAACTAAACTTGCTACTAAAATCAACATACTGATGATAAACATGACTTAAATATTCTGGAATCTTCTTTGTTATGTGCCACATACAAAAATGGTGTTTAGTGTTAGGAAATACTGTTGCAACTGCATTTGTTATGGCAGAATCTTGATCTGTTATGATTGTATGAGGCGCAACTCCGAACATTGCCTCTTGCCAAGTACGAAGTAACCACTCAAAAGTGTCTTGAGTTTCATCCCAAAGTAGAGCACAACCAAACAAAATAGACTGATAATGATTGTTAACTCCAGTAAATGGAACAAAAGGCATCTTATATTTATTTGTCAGATATGTAGGATCAAAAACAACTACTTTCCCAAAATTCTTATAAGCAATCCTAGATCTAGCATCAACCCAAAAACAATTAGCTAAATGACCATCTACATCCATTTGAATTGCATAAAAGAAACCTGGATTTTCAGATTGACGCCTTTGGAAATATTGTAGCATTAATTGTGCATCTCCTTTTTCAAGATTTTTTTGTCTTCTAGTTTGCAAATAATTCTGGATATCTTGACTTGTTAAATTCAGTCGATCTATACCCCCAACTTGATTCATCAACACTGATGCTATTTTACTTGGACGAACTCCAGAGTTATCAAGTAAATCAATAAGATTCTTTTGGGGCATCAAATTTTTTTCTTTTTGATCGCAAGAATTTTTGACTATTTGGAGATGCAAGTTCATGATTGTGCTTAGCAACAAGCCTACAAACAACCCAATTACCTTCTTCTTTCTTTGACATATATAACAACACTTTGCATCCTTCTCTGGTTTCATCTCGTGGTTTATTACTTTCTAAATTTTTCTTTGAACGAAATCCTTGCTTTGAACAGACAAACTCTTGACCAATTATTGACTTATCTTTTCTTGACTTAGTCATACGACCTCGACGTACACTAAAACCGCTACGATGAGCATATTCGAGATAAAATTTAAATGAATCATCAAGTGACTGAAACTCCTTACCGATATAGGGGTCTCTCGAATTTCCAACTCCTATTTCGGAAACAATCTGTCTTGTTTCTTCCCTATCACTTTCTTCTAATGAAACTTCAACTTCTGTATGTTGCTCATCTAAATTTGAGTTTTCCATTGATGCTGCAAAATACATTTATGAATGTTAGATAACTTAAAATTATGAATATGTCTATTTATTATTCAACACTTCCTTTGGAAAATATATTCAGTAGTGGAAGTTAAACTAATAAAATTTCTTCCCAATAACTTGGTGTAGAACAGAAGAATTAGAGACGATATGACAATACTTTAAATGCAATATTCACCTCTCTCGACGCTATATTCACCTATTTTTGGTACATTGAATTATTTTGCTAATGAAGATTTGTTCAAAAGGAGTTTTTTCATGCTTATAAACAAGAAAATATAAGAAATTTGTTCTCGCGACATACCGTTGAGTAGAAGAAGCTTGTCAAGTTTTAGAATGTTTGAAGTTCTAAAAATTATTTCTTACTAGGTTCAGAAAGTATGATGTTTGAAGAATTACATGAGCGATGATCTTAAGGGAAAACCTACGATAAACCTAATTATTGTATTAATCTTGGAAAGAAAATAATTTAATTACGGAATTATATTTGGTTAGAATCCAAATAGGACTCAACTATCGATATTCTTCTTCTTCTCTTTTTAGTAAATGGTTGATATTATTTTCTTTTCTTTTTTATAATTATAATATTTTATTAAAGTAAGTTACCTGATGGTGTAGAAATTTACTACACTGACAGTGCACAAAACTTAATCTCTATTTATTAAAGATATTTAATAATTTTAATTGATAATGAGGTCGATATTTAATATATATATATATAAAAAAAAAAATTTTAAAGAATTTATTTTCCCCTTCCCCTCATTAAAGTGTTACTCAGGTGAAACCCGTCCCTCTTGAGTCTCAGTCTCACGCTGCTCCCAACTCGCAACTCACAGCAGGTCGCCGTCGCAGAAGCAGCAGTGCCGCACGTCGCCGTTGCAGCAGCAGTGGTGCCGCACGTCGCAGCAGCGCCGCACATCCATTCTGCAATTTCAAAGGTAATGAAAGTAGTTAACTAATTTGTTGGATCCAGAGACTTCAATTGCAGTAGTTAACTAATTTGTTGTGAAGCTTAGCCTCAAACAAAAACTTATTCAAAAGAGTTAAACCAATTAGAATTTAGAAGGGCATTTTTTTGATTATACAAGTGTGTATCTTTGTCAATTAGTTTTTTTTTTGGGCTAGTGTCGTGTTATGCTCTTTTGATTCATCATCTGTGGATATACTAATAATTTTTTATGGGTGATACAGGATTACTCTACTTTAATAATTAATAGTATGTCTTTATCCAACTTAAATAGATCTGAGGCAAAACTAAACGAACTCCACTGCATTCATTCATGTCAGTCATTTTCACAAGAGATTGAAGTAGCTAAAGAATCATATGAGCTTCATATATCACAGTTGTAATTGTGTGTATTACAGCTTAGTCTATGCAATGGTAAATCTTGTTTCATAAAGTTTGTGTCTTTTAGATGGTTTTTGAGTTTAAATTGATGATTTTGGATCCTCTCTGACTTTTCGTGAATTGGGTTTCTGTTTCTTGGTAGAATAAGTATATAAACATTGAGGAATTGTGTAATATTATACTGGGAAATTCTTAGAGTTTGTATTACGGCTTATGCTATGCCATGGTAAATCTTGTTTCATAAAGTTTGTGTCTTTTAGTTAGTTTTTGAGCTTCCATTGATGTTTTTGGATTTCTTTTTTGATGAACTTTTATTGACTGGAGTTCTGTTCCTTAGTAGTTGGGATTTGAACATTGAGGGAGTTGTGTGATATTATACTAAAAAATCGTAGAATATGGACTACTGCTTATGCTATGCAATGGTAAATCTTGTTTTATGAAGTTTGTGCCTATAAGTTGGTTTTTGAGCTTACATTGATGGTTTTGAATTGGTTCTTGGATTTCCTATATTGGGTTTCTGTTTCTCAGTAGTTGGCATTTGAAATTGGAAGTTGTGATATTATAGTTGAAAATAACATTCTATTTCTGATCAATTGACGCCTTCAACCATGTTTAAATACTAATTACTTCTATATGCTTCAAACAATAACCTACTATTGGGGTAATAGTCTCAACAATAAAGTATGTTGTTTTCTTCTTTCTTTCTAATAGAGAGCCTATGTACTCCATGCGTTTGATAAAATGCCCTAGGAAAAATAGTTTGTCATTAAGGGATCCTTTGGTAGCTGGTTAGAATTATGCAGGTATTAGTAAAATATGTATAAGTTATGCGGGTATTAGTTATTTCATCTTCTATCCTTAACAAAATAATATACAAATTCCCTCATACCTTGCATATCAAATGTTATACATGAATAACTTACTTCCTAACTTGCTACCAAACATTGTATAACTTAATGCATAAATTAATACTTGAGTAAATTGCTTCTTTACTAGCTACCAAACAACCCTTGAGTGCTCAGTTCGATTTGACCCATTCTTTCTCATTATTAGTAAGAATGTAAGTCCTTTAACAAGCATGTTTATTTGATGCCTTGTATTCTTTATATGATTCCTAGACTTGGTTTTCAAGAAATATATGCTTACGTATTACACTTCATGCTAGAAATTTAGGCAAATCTAGGGAGGAGGGTGTCCTTGTATTTGTTTTCTAGATTTTTTTAGATGGGGTGGGTGACACATAGCTAGTTATTTGGACCGTAACCAGTAGATGAAGGTAAGAGTATATGGTTGTTAAGTGATGGTTGTGTTATCTTCTTTAAGAAAAATGAGTGAAATGCAAACAATTTTTATAAACAAAATGTACCTTTCAAGCGATTACATATTACGTAATCAGGAGAATATAGTAAATATGACCAATACATAGTGAAAAAAATCATTAAATTTCTTGATTGGAAAAAGAGTGCGGAAAAGTTAAATTTTTTGTTTGCCTGTGGTGATTAGGACAGTTTGGAAATTTTTGGTTGCAGATATTGTATCAGATTGTCAAAGGATGCAGTTTCTAAAAGACATCGTACCTGCTGCATTGAACAATATAAACACAAAATTTATTGTTTTGGACAAAGGGAGGATAGATTTAGAAGGGCAACACAAGACGTGTTTGGCACTAGTTGCAGATGAGACAGCTGCGGTTCACTTTCAAATGTGGGGTGATGAATGTGATGTTTTTGAGCCTGGGGATATCATCCGGTTAGAAAATGGCATCTTTTCTTATATTCGCAATAACCGCAGTAACCATGTACTAAGGGCAGGTAAGCGAGGCAAGGCAGAAAAGGTGGGAGAGTTTACCATGGCCTATGTGGAGAAACCAAACATGAGTGAGATACATTGGGTCCCTGATCCCAAGAATCCTAAGATATATTTGCCAGTGGATTTTACTTCTCACATTTCACCAACACATTGAGTATTGGGCAAACTTATATCTGACAGGTACTCTCCTTTAAACTCTCTTCCTCGATGGTTGCTTAAATATGATTCAATCGAGTTTATGTTAATCTATTCAGTTCAGATTCTTTGAAGGGTCTTATGATGCAGTATACTGATGATTGTGGGGATTGGTTCCTGTGGTTTGTAGAAAGCAATGCCTCTATTTATCTAGTTGGATTGACCTGAAACTCATATTGTGTGTGATTGTTTGATTATTATCAACTTCTCTGCTTCAATGTGCAAACAGATGAGAAAAGAATCCTTATATTTAGGTAAAGTTTTCCTATCTTGATCAAGAAAAAAGTTAATAAGTATGGATGAAGGGAAAATAAATACATAAGGAGTGGGAAAGGAAACTTGGTTAAGGCAATGGAAGGTTAGGCTGATCACCCTAGTAACCGTTTACGAGATGGCTTGTGCCCGTGTGCCTAATATTTCTGTACAAAGAAGATCCGGCACTGAGAAGTAAGTTTAACCAGTTGAAACTTTGTTCTTTTCATAAGTCAATAACTGTAAGTAACTTGTAGCTAAGGCTTTTTGTTGCTGTTTCTCCTCTTCATACACTACTCTCGACTTAGTAAGCTAACTTTACATCGTGGTTTACAACCAAATTTACCCTTTGTTTCTATCAAATGTATTCAACCAATTTTTCCCTTTTGTTCTCAAGTGTCTGAAATCCCTAATGAGACTACTGTCTCCCTTAGCTTTTTTTGTATGGTTACTAAGATGAATATATTTGTCAACTAATGAACAATGAAAGCACAAACAACAGATGTGGAAAGAAAAAAATACCTCGTAAAAAGTTGTGGCAATAAAGTGAAAGGAAGGTATTTGTCATTTTTTTTTCCAGATATGACCTTACAATAGTGGTATCCATTTATGAGATGACATTCGTGGCACATCTGTCCCTCTTACGGAACAAAGGAACTCTTCTCCCTCTTGAAAATGATGATATACCTTGATTTTTACTCCCATATGATAAAGTGACCCATAAGTGCTTACGAAGTGTATCCTCTAATATAATAGCAATGTTCAACACTCTAAAGAACCCTAAGTATTCTCTTGGACATATCAAATAGAAATGGAACCACTTATAAAGGACCAAAAGATGATATTGAAAGCCTACATTGAATGGAACACATTTACCTGTTTCGATTGGAAGATGCAATTCTCCTACTAGCACTTCTAGCTAGCCATCTTTAACAAGCTTAAGTAAGCACAAAATCTGCCATTAACTCATGATTTCCGTTGTTGATCATTAATGATTATTGGTAACGTTTGTTTATTTTTTGACCTACCAAAAAGCCTAAACTAATATAAATTAACATGCTTCAGCTGACAAATGGAAAGCTCATATGAAACATGCACTATGAAGAATGATTAGAAAGTAGATTCCTTGGCAGTAACTGTCAGATCAAACCACTGCATAGATTTGATGTTTAGAAACAATTAGATGAACTTAAGTGGAAGGGGGTATGATGAAGAATCAAAAATGAAAGGAACTATGTGTCATTTTCATGCAAATATTATAGAAACAACATCAAGCTGTAGATTTTCAAGGAAAACCAGCAAATTATACAACTTAAGCTTCTGCTATGTAGTTGATAAGAAATCAAAAGTAGAGCAACTTAGAAAATAGCTTCTTTTTTTTAACCATTAGACTTGGCTCTTTAAACTAATACTATGCAATAATTCTTTAGTATAGCCTGACATATGTATAGTTATTGGATTATATGTAAGGTCTTGAAATTAAAGAATGTAGTAAGAATTCTACCTCATCTCTATCTTCGTTTTGTATGTCCGTGGAAACTGAAAGTGATGACACATCAAACCATTCATATGGTTTAACCAGACCCATCCATTAACTTGTAAATAAACTTGTTTGCTGAGTTGCATGCCTTTGCAGATACTTCTTAATTGTAATATAGAAGGCTTGAGAAGACCATTTATATAGGTACAACATAAATATCGAGATCAAGTAATTAAAAGTTATACACAACAATTTTAAAAGCACAAAGTTTTTTTCAGTTAAGACTTGGAAGTAATATCAGCTTGATCATAACTACAGAGAGTAGAGATTAACTACTCTTCAACAGAAAGCAGGCTGGAACATCGGTTGAGTTGCTGCTTTCATTTGATGAGCTGATTCCATGACAATTACAGCTTACAAAAGAAATTTCACTCTTTCTATGGTGAGTTCTTCTTCTCTCTTTCAATTTTGTTCACTCTTTTTTTCTTAAATATTTTGTTTTCTTGTTATTTTCTGTAACACTCTTTTAAGTGGGTTCTTCTTCCTCTTTTCTTTTTTTTTTTGCTTAATTTTTCATTTTGAATGGGGATGCTGATCTATATGTGCTTGGGCGTGTGAGCTAAAAAATATTTGAAATATTTGTATGTCATGTGAAACAAATTGAGCTAAAAAAAGATATTATAACAACTAATACAATCTTGGTCGTGCTCAGCACGGGCAACCTTTACTAGTAGCTTAGAAACGAGGGTACAGAGCCAACTTTATTGATCAAATTACAACAACAACAACATACTCTACGTAGTCCACAAGTGGGGTCGGGGGAGAGTATAGTGTACCCAAACCTTACCCCTACCTTGTAGAGGTAGAGAGGTTGTTTCTGATAGACGCTCGGCTCAAGGAAAAACATAGCAAAGCAGCTAATCATTGAGTATTCTCCATGATACTCTGGATGAAACCTCCAATAGAAGTGTAAGAAGAGCCACCTTTCATGGTTGTTGCTCTGCTCTTCTCCTTCATCTCCGTTACTTTCATCCGGATTTTATTTTCCGGGTCCATAAGTTCCCTTATTGCTTTCTCAATCTCTTCTGCTTTCACTATAACTTCTTGGCCCATCGTCCCTGCCGGTTCCTTCCTGTAATCCATCTTAATCTCGACTGCCATTTCCAAATCTTTAACCAACTGAAATGCATTTGCTTGCTGCTCTGCGTACATTGGCCAAGTAGCCATTGGCACTCCAAAATAGATGCTTTCCAAAGTCGAATTCCATCCACAGTGCGACACAAAGCCACCCACTGCTTTGTGAGATAAAATGGCCAATTGAGGTGCCCATCCTATCACCTGTTGAAAAATTGTAGAGATGGAATAATAAGATGCAATGATTAGTAATACAAGATAAAATGAAGTTAATGGTACACTATGAAAGGTGTTGTCTTCAGAGTAGATTTTATATCTAGATAACAAGTGACAATGTACTCCTAAAATACAATGCATCATCCAGAAATTTTGTAGTGTATACTCGAATAGAAGTTCGGGGAACTCTTAAATCTCTCAACTGTTATAGGAATTTGGAGTGAAAAAAAGAAAGAACAGGGATTCTTGAAGAGGGTGAGAAAACCAGGAGCCAAAAGATAAAATTATGAAAAATTGGATATGTTTTTTTTTTTTTAAATAAAATAAAATGTTATTCTTTTTAATACGCTAGGTTTTAAATCATTCAAAATAAAATCAACGCGCCTCCAGTCTTAACCAAAGGTTTCAGGTTCGAGCTTTGAATATGGATTAGGGACCTGGCTCTATATGAAAAAAAGAAAAGAAAGAAAAACAACAACAATACCTTTCCAATCCCTTGTGTTCTTTGCAAGAATCCTTCTGGCAATACTTCTTCAAAATTTTCATAGTCACCTGGAAGTCTTGCATCTTTCTGTGGTGGTTGTCTCAATGCCCACAAAAACCGACACCCACTATTCTCGAGAGCATATGTTATTTCCTTAACTTGCTCTACCGTAAAACTTCCTCCGCTACCAAAACAGAGGAACACTACAGATGAAGGGGGTTGTTCATCTAACCATTTCATCATGTTCTGGTCTGATGAACTCAAGTTGTCACCTTGAGCATTATTATTAAGGTTCAACACCGGTCCCACAGGGTAAACCGGTGGTATATTCTTGTCTCGTGAGAGGGAGTTTATCGCGTGAGAATCCAGTTCAGGAAAGGTATTAATCATTATACCTTTGGTTTCTCGAAACCTTCTTGTAAGGTCAAGACACATGGTGGAACCTCCTTCCTTATCTAACGCGACAGAGGGCAAACATTTTGCAGGAAATGGATTGAAATATGTTGTTATAGAAAGTTCTGCTTCAGGGTCATCTTTATAATTAGTAATATCTCTTCCAAAGTCATCACTAAGGCTCTGTATATGGAACTGAAGACCAAGAGTTGCTGCACCACAGGTGTAGAAAACATAGGTTGGTAGCTCGAATTCATTGGCCACGTCTATCATAGAGGTGCAAAATAAGTCGATGACAATACCTGCACGTTAATATCACATATAATTACTAGAACTTTACCCATCGAAAGACTAAAATTTCAAAACTGTCATTGTAGCATAAAAAATAAAAACTAAGCTTTACTCTACCCACAATAACAATAAAGTCATTGAAATACTTTTTCTAGTCGCGTTAAATTGAGAAGGTTGGTGTAGTGGCGCAACACCCCTTTCAACTTAAATACTCCCTCTGTCATAATTTATGCGGTATCATTTGGATTTGGATAGTCAAACTTTTAAAATTTGACCATAAATTCGGGTATAGAATCTTTAAGCTTTTGGAAATAAAATTCATATTCAAAAATTACAACAAATCATAATAATTAATAATTTTAAATAATTAAAAGGCACATTAAAATATCATAGTTAAGAAAAACTATTTGGCTCTCGAAATTCAAGAAGTATCATAAAGTTTGGATGGAAGGAAGGAAGTATCAATTTTATTTTTTTTTGGCAATAGTGGTCGAACTCATGACATGCATCTAGTCTATAAATCACAAATTGTGTGCTGATCACCTATGCTGCTCAAACTCTCCCAAAATTTATATACATTACTTTTGAAGTATCCGACACACACCCGCCAACATTTTTGAATTGTCTAAGTAACATTGCTTATTACTGAACCAAAGCTTTGGACAGATAAAGTTAAAATAATCATACATGGAATGAATTTGAAATATATACCTGCTAGTGTAATATTTGATTGTGACTTGATAATTTCAGCTACAACATCTCTAACTGCAGGCTTATGAGCAGGAATAAAGGAGGTGAAAAGGTTACTTTTGAGTAGCTGCAAAACAGTGTCATCTTGAGGGAGTTGAATGAATTTCAAACTTGAGCTGAAATTGGTTAATGATTGAATATAAGAAGGGAGTTTGTTGTCATGAGGTGATTGGATAATGAGAACTGTAATGGACATGTTTTTTTCTCTAGTTATGAGAAGCTTTGCCATTTCTACTGTGGATACTAAATGACCAATTAGTGGACTAGGAATGAAGATCAACTCTATTTTCTTGGTACTTGTCATTTTTTCTTCTTTTTTTTGGGTACAAACTTGTACTTTTGATATTGCTTGAAACTTAAAAGAGGAAAGTGGAGTTTGTGAATGGAGTGTAATATTGGTATTGATAATAATGACCCTTGTGATTGGTTATATATAAGGCCAAGATATGTAAGAAGTATGTGGGGACAAAGAGTGAGTTGTCTTGGTCATCAAGAGTGAGAATGATGGTGCATTTGATGTATAGCCTAATGGTCAATAAAATTAATAAAAATAATGTAGATGAGTTTTAAATTCAATAGAGATGAAAAAGGAAAAAATTAAGACTTGCTTAAGTTTTGGTGGATGATGTTCAAATATATAATTGAAATGCACGTAAATTGATTCGAATTGTTACCATTATGAATCCCAAAAAGAATGATAATGATGAACATTAGGTGGTTCTTTTTATCTGTTCTAAACTTGGTAGACAGAGTTATCATATCTCGTGAGATTAATTGAAATGCGCAAAAGCTGATAGGGACAGCACAATCAGTAAAAAATTTTTGGCAATGACGTCATGGCATAGGTGGAAGAAATTTATTGTATAAGATAAGAATCTAGAAGGTGTTAAGACACTGGAAGTATCCAAGTAAGAGGATTGGTGAAAGAAAAAGTGGTTTTGTCGTGGTGATCAATTAAATGATGTCATGGCTTTGCTGATTTGTCTTTTGGATATGAAACATTTGTTTTTTATTTTTTTCTAGCGTTCGATCATAGATTTAATTGAAATATAGAAAAAAGAAATATGATAAATTTTCAAAAGTAATCGAATTTCATGGATAAACAATATTTTTAATATTATTTCTTTTGAAATTTACTTTTAAAATCTATGATCAAATAAAAGTTTTGTTTTGTGTTTATGATTTTACTTCCCAAGAAAAGAGGATTTTGGCTGTTGATAAAATTTATTGATATGTCATTATCATTATATGAGAAATATAGTTGTAACGTGTAGAATACTGCACCAGATAACCATTTATTTGACAAAAAATGATTATGTTAAAAAAAAATTACTGTATGGTTTTTGCTGATCAACAAATTTCTTCTCTCTCCAAAATTGAAGCTCAAGTAGAAAATTATTTTAAATTCTATCTGTGTTTAATTAAAATGTGGACGTATGTATACACACTTTCCATAGGTTATAACTCGTTCTATAGACCTATCGTTTGGTCTACAAACAAAATTATCTCAGAATTATAGTTTTGAGATTATAATTATTTTGTACAAGTGCATTGCTTTAAGAAATGACATGATAAGAAGGAAATGCTATCAAGTTTTCATGTCTCCAAGTTTATTTCAACATATATCAGCATAAGAACACAGGAAACTTGTTACAAGCCAAAAGTGCACTCCAAATTCCTCATGGCCATTCCCGAGCCCCTGACAAACCTTGGAAAAACTTTATTACGTGCCTCACACGATTGATACTAGCTGTGTGAGGCTTCGTTTTATCTCACAAAAAAAGTGAACCCAAATCTTATACTGTTTGGTCCACTTTTTTCACAAAAGCCTCACACGACTAGTGTAGTCGTGTGAGGCACATAACAAAAAAAATTCCTGACCTTAGTTTGCTAGCATTCCGAAGAATCCCCTCCAAGTGCTTGCATTTCTCAGTTTAACGTAAACACATAGCATGCCAAGAGAAAAATAATTAGCTGAGCATGTATTAACCAGTATTCTTGGCCTTCCTTCCCCTTTTCGTTATTTCCATCTTCTTCGATTCCTTTCCTTTCTCCTTTAACGTGTTCATAGCATCCACCAACTTGTTCGTCTGTGGCTCGGGCACCATACTCTTTGATATCATCTCATTAAAATAAGACAAAGCATCCTCTAATCTTCCCCCATCATAAAGACCGTGAATCATAATTGTATATGATCGTTGATCGGGTCCTAGTCCACTCCTCTCCATCTCATCCCACGTACTCTTTACTTGATCTTGATTATCCCAGCTCATAAACAACCTTAACAACAAATTGTAAATATCTCCAGTCATCTTACACTGGTTTTCGTTCATCCTTTCCAAAATCCCAATAGCTTCCTCAGGCGTCTTGGCAGAATTCAACAAGTAACCATAAGTTCTAGCATTTGGCAAACAACTCTCTCCCTTCGTTTCCATCTCGTCTAAAAGCTCATAAACTTTCTCCATCCTCCTAATCTTGCATAAATTTTTAATCAACGAATTATAAGTTACAACATCAGGTAAACAATCTCTCTCATTCATTTCATGAAAAATCTCAAGAGCTTCAGGAATTCTCTTCTTGAAACACAATCCATCAATAATACAATTACAAATTGCAACATCTGGCTTACACCCTTTTTCCCACATTGTCTGGAACAACTCTACCGCCCTGCTTATTTTCCCTGATTTACATAGTGAATTGATGAATATCCCATATGTAAATTTATCCGGCTTACATTTTGAAGTTACAATATCATTCCAAAACCTCTTCGCCTCTCGTGAATTCCCCAAAACACACCATCCATTCAGAATAATATTCCGCGTTTTAATGTTATCCTTAAACTCATTTATCTTATTATGGAACAAGAATTCAGCATCTTCAACATGTTTGTATCGGCATAAACACACAAGAAGAGTCTGAAAAGCAATAAGATCAAGCTTCAAACCAAAATTTTTCCTCTTATAGAAAAACTCTTTTGCATCTTCAACTCTATGAGCTGCAGCATATCTATTAATCACAATACCATAAGTTCTTTCATTAACCAAATTTCCTCTCTTAGACATTTCGTCGAGCACTTGGTTGAGTTCATCAAAATGTCTCATACGACCAAGAATATCGAGAATTTCATTGAAAGATTCAGTATTTGGTGAATACCCACTTGGATTTTCACCAGCTAATACCCATTTGAAGAAGGTAAAAGCTGGTTTCCAATCAGAACGGTGCCGTTTAAGCACGTTTGGAATGAAATCTTCAGATAATGTGAAATTGCAATTACTTAGAGATTGAAAAATGTCACTCACTGATTTATCTGCTTTATTCTTGAGAAGGGTCTGCACTTTCAACGCGCAGTTTTCTTCGTCGGATATTGTGTGCATTTGGCGATGAAAGTGACTCGCCATTTTGGGTTGAAAACTGTACAAACGCTGAATTCTCCGGTAGAGTTCTTTAGTTGACATTCCGATGAACTTTCCGGTGGAACGCCGGGAAAGCGGATTTTATAGGAAAGAAAGCCAGAGCAAACAAGAGTGAGTCATAGTAACTTATAATTTGACTTATTTTATTATTAGTAAAATTATCCGCGTATCGCGCATAAATTTAATATCATGAAATTTATAAAATAGTACTTAAAACATATCCGTAAAACTTACGTAGTATAAAACATTAATAATGTAAATGAAAATAAAAATTATAACATCTTATCATTTATCCTTAATAACATAAGCATAAATTAATTACTATAAAAATACATATCAGGATCTGTGACATAAGTAATGGTGTCAGTGAGCCACTCAACGGGAGAAAATTACACGAATATTAAATTGTGAAAAAAAAGGAGATTTAGAATTTTTGTTGTTTAAAATAAGAGGAAATCTCTCTATTTATAGACAATAAAAGGTAGTGTGAATAACTGTTTATTGTACCTTATCGGAAATGTTACAACTATTTGAAAAAGTTGCAATCCTTCAAAAAGGTCACAACCTTTCATAAACGTCACAACTTTTCATAAAAGTCACAACTTTTAATAAAAGTTGCAATTTTGCATTAAAGTCGCAATTTTTCATAAAAGTCGCAACTCCTAATTAAAGTCACAACTTTTCATAAAAGTCACAATTTTTATGAAATGGAAAGGCTAGTTTTGAAAATAAACAAATTAAAAGGGAATCTTGGTTTGTGGTGGCGCCTCGTAGGCGAATTTAGGGTTCTCTTTTATATATACTAGGTAATTTACCCGCGCTTTGCGCGAGCATAAATAATCTTTCTAAACTATTGAATAATTTTTCCAATAATCGACTGTTAGTAGGCTTTAAAAACATTTCATCAGAAATTAAATGATTTGATATTATCACATATCTAAAGAATTGTAAATATATACTGAATGATTAAAAATATCTTGAGATCTAATCATTTTTATCTTTTACATAATTTATCATAATATATGTTTGATGATATAATTGTGTTGTTAAAACAAAGTGATGTTTTTATGCAGCAATTAAACATAATTTTTTCTATTTTTTTGTACATGAAAAATATAGAATCTGATAATTTTATGACTAGAATAACACCTTGTGAAAAAAAAATATCGTAAACATTTTCGATAATCAATATTAGTTATAAATAAGTTAAGACCGTTAAAAATGTACACCACAACTACATAAATAATTGTTTTTAAAGACAATCTATTTGTCTGAGGTCAAACGTTCACTACTTTTCATTATTGTTACTTTGTTACTCTAACAAAATTTATAGAAGGAGAAAAATTAATTTGAAAGAACAGCAAAATAATATTGTTGACCTTTTTAGAAATTCATTCTTTATTAAACTGCTTATTTGAAGGCCCTTCTAGATGCTTCATCAATGCACCTTTACAACTTTTTCAGAAATATGTATGTATAATTGTTGCATTATAAAAGTACAAGTAGATCAAAATGTTGCATTCTAGACTCATGTTAAAGAAATATTCTCAAATATTAAAAAATTAAAAATGAGTCTAACCTAGATAAACTCAAATGCTCAGCAATAACTTGAACAGAAAAGACAACAAATCTTCTATGTTAATAGACATATCTTTTGTAGCTTAAGATATTACTTTTATTTAAAGTAGGTTTTGTTTTATATTCTTCAAATTAAGCTTGCCGAAAAAAGTCATAACTCACACCGAAAATATTTAGAAGAGTTGAATGACAAGGAAAAAAAGAAAAACATTAAAAGGACGAAAGTTTTGTCCATCTTGTCACTAAAACAAACTATTAGTGACAACTATTATCGATATTAGCAGCAGCTAATTTTGCCACTAAAACATTATTTTAGTGGCGACTATTATAGGCCAAAAATCCAGATCACAAAAAAATCCATGGACTATTGCATACGAAAATCGGTAAAACGGGGGATTTACCTGCCCCACAGCTCGTTTGACCTTGAAAATGGGCCAGTTTGCCCGTTGGACCAACTGACTCCGTAGATAAGGTTTTGAAGGACGTTTATGAAAAATTTATGCTAAAATGACGCCAAATATCTGGATCACCAAAAAATCCATGGAATATAGCACACGAAAATTGTCAAAACGGGGAGTTTATCCGCTCCGAGGCTCATTTGACCTTGAAAAAGGGACGATTTCCCGTCGTGACCAATCGGCTCCATAGCTAAGGTCTTGACGGACGTCTATGAAAAAATTCGGCAAAAATAACGTCGAAAATTCGGATCACCAAAACATTTATGGACTATAGCACACGAAAATCGGCTTAACGAGGAGTTTACCCTCCCGCGGCTCGTTTGACCTATAAAATGGGCCGATTTGCTCATCGTGACCAACTGGTTCGATAGTTATGGGCTTGATGGATGTCAATGATAAATTTTGATAAAAATGACGTTGAAAATTCGGAACACTAAAACTTTCAAGGACTATAGCACACATAAATCGGCAAGTTTGGGGGTTTACCTACTCCGGGGACCGTTTGACTGAAAATGGGCCGATTTTCCTGTCGTGACCAACAGGCTCCATACATAAGATCTTGACGGATGTCTATGAAAAACTTCAGCAAAAATGACGCTGGATATCCGAATCACCAAAACATTCATTGGATATAGCACACGAAAATCGGTAAAATGAGGGGTTCACCCGATACGGGACTCGTTTGACCTTGAAAATGGGCCGATTTACACATCGTGACCAACCGGCTCCATAGCTAAAGGCTTGATGGACATCCATGACAAATTTCGGCTAAAATAACATCGGAAATCCGGATCACCAAAACATCTATAGACTATAACACATGAAAATCGGTAAAACGGGGGGTTTACCTGCTCCGCGGCTCATTTGACCTTAAAAATGGGCCGGTTTTCTCGTCCGAACCAACCGGCTCCATAACTAAGATCTTGACGGACGTCCAAGAAAATTGACTATAGCAAAAATGATACCGGAAATCTGGATCACCAAAACATCCATGGACTATAGCATACGAAAATTGACAAAACTTGGGGTTTACCCGCTCCGGGGATCTTTTGACCTTGAAAATGGGACGATTTGCCTGTCGTAACCAATCGACTCCATAGCTAAGGTCTTGAGGGACGTCTATGAAATTTTTTGGCAAAAATGACATCGAAAAATTCGGATCACCAAAACATCCATTGACTATAGCAACCGAAAACAGGCAAAACGGGGGGTTTACCCGCTCCGGGGATTGTTTGAACTTGAAAATGGGCCGGTTTGCCCGTCGTGACCCACCGGCTCCATAGCTAAGGTCTTGATGGATGTCCATGAACAATTGTGGCAAAAATGACACCGGAAATCCGGATCACCAAAACATCCATGGACTATAGCACATGAAAATGGACAAAACGGGGTGTTTACCCACTCCGAGGCTCGTTTGACCTTGAAAATGGGTCGGTTTGCCCGTTGGGACCAACCGGTTCCATAGCTAAGGTCTTGACGGACGTCTATGAAAAATTTCGACAAAAAAGACGCTGGAAATTCGGATGATTAAAAAATCCATGGACTATAGCACACGAAAATTGGTAAAACGGGGGTTTACCCGTTTCGGGGTCGTTTGACCTTGAAAATGGGCCGGTTTGCCGGTCGTGACCAACCGACTCTATAGCAAAGGTCTTGACGGACGTCCATGAAAATTTTCGGCAAAAGTGACGTCGAAAATCCAGATCACCAAAACATCCAGGGACTATTGCATACGAAAATCGGTAAAATAGGGGGTTTAACCGCTCCGCAACTCGTTTGATCTTGAAAATGGGTTGGTATGCCTGTCAGGATCAATTGACTCCATAACTAAGGTTTTTACGGACGTCCATGATTTTTTTTTGCAAAAAGACGCTGGAAATTCGGATCACCAAAATATCCATGGACTATAGCACACGAAAACTGGCAAAATGGGAAGTTTACCTGCTCCGGGGTTCGTTTGATCTAGAAAATAGGCCGGTTTACCCGTTGTGACCAACCAGCTCCATAACTCAAGTCTTGACGGACGTCCATAAAATTTTTTGTCAAAAATGACACCGAAAATCTGGATCACCACAAAATCCATGGACTATAGCTCACAAAAATTGGCAAAACGGTGGGTTTACCTGCTTCGGGGCTCGTTTGACATTGAAAATGGGCCGATTTGCTCGTCGTGACCAACCGACTCCATACCTAAGGTCTTGATGAATCTCCATGAAAAATTTCGGCAAAAATGACATCGAATATTCGGATCACCAAAACATCCATGGAATAATTCACACGAAAATTGGCAAAATGGGGGGTTCACCCGCTACGGAGCTCGTTTGACCTTGAAAATTGGCCGGCTTACACGTCGTGACCAACCAGCTCCATAGCTAAAGTATTAATGGACGTCCATGAAAAATTTCAGCTAAAATAACATCGGAGATTCGGATCACTAAAACATCTATGGACTATAGCACACAAAAGTTGGCAAAACGGGGGGTTTACCCGCTCCGTAGTTCGTTTGACCTTGAATATGGGCTGGTTATCCCGTCTAAACCAACCGGCTCTATAACTAAGGTCTTGACGGACGTCCAAGAAAATTTTCGGCAAAAATGACATCGAAAATCTGGATCACCAAAATATCCATGGACTATAACATACGAAAATCGACAAAACTTGGGGTTTACACGCTCCGGGGCTCTTTTGACCTTGAAAATGGGTCGATTTACCCGTCGTGACCAACCGTCTCCATAGCTAAAGTCTTGACGGACGTCAATGTAATTTTTTGGTAAAAATAACATCGAAAATTCGGATCACCAAAACATCCATGGACTATAGCACACGAAAATGAACAAAATGAGGGATTTACCCTCTCCGGGTTCGTTTGACCTTGAAAATGGTCCAGTTTACTCGTCGTGACCAACCGACTCTATAGCTAAGGTCTTGACGGACGTCCATGAAAAATTTCGGCAAAAATGACGTAGGAAATTCGGATCACCAAAAATCCATGGACTATAACACACGAAAATCAACAAAACGAGGGGTTTACC